ACCTGCCACTCAACTTTCATTTATGGCTCCAAGAAGCTATAGCATGTACAGTGGCTACACCCCAGGAAACTGTCTCAGCAGACAGCCTAAACCAGGTTGAGGGTAACTAACAGGCCTCAAACCCATTGATGAGTTAGGTGATGTCCACCCCAAGCATGTGAAGACTTCCCCTGGCAGAATAGGTGGATGAGAACAATTTGTTCCAATGGCCCTGAAGGCAACTGAAAAGCAGGCGCTTTAGAGCTCTTAGATTTTGGTCATGCATCAAAGCTGCCAAGGTCATCATCTACTGCATCCTAAGCCCTCCCCAGTCTTCTCAACTTGTGTCTTGCCAATGGACTTAAACTCTGGAAGAGAGAGTGAGGCTGATGACTTTGTGCAACTCTGCCTTACTTAAATCCAATCTACTCTCCAGAGAAGACATCACCTGTGATGTCTTTGGTCCTTTTCAGAAATGAAGGATGCACAACAGTTTCAGGTGAAATGTTTTCGCTGCTGAGCTGGGATCTCTCCTTTCAGTCACATCCTCTGCTCTGTTCTCTGGTCAGCATCATCTCAACTGGTCAGCTAGTTGTCAGCTGTTCTCTTCTGCCATTTACTAGATAGAGGTTATACAGTTCATCCTCTCCCAGGCTAGACTACTGGGAGGTGGATAGTGGGCCTGAAGACTGGAGTGGATCTGGGTTCTGAATTATCTCAGGGAAGTTTAGGGCTTAGTTAAGTCAGAGGGAATATCCAAGTCAGAGGGAATATCCATTCCAGTGGGAACTGGGCAATAGAATAGAGGAAAGGAAGGGCTCGATGAATCTTGTTCCACTTTGTTCTCCAAAGAAAAAACTCCTGCTTGTCCATTTGATGCTGGTTGGCTTCCAGGCAGCAAGAAAAACCAGCAGGAGTAGCTGCTGTGGGCGGCTGGAGCCCTTCCCATCCCCTGCCCACAAGCCAATGGACACTTGAAAATAATAGCTAGTTATTAGCTCTTATGTATTAATATACTAATGAAATTATATATAAAATAGATATAACTTATTTGTGTTATTATAACAATATGTGTATATTGATATATGTATAATTATATTATGAATGTATGAGATATATAATTACAAAGTAGATCATTATAAATAGAAATATAAGCTATAGTACATGTAAGATAGAATTATATTAATATATTAATTATATACATCATATATATGTTAATATTTAATATTTTACTTTAAAATATTTAATATTTAATAATGTTACATAATATATAATAATATAGCTAATACACCAATGTATTAATAACAATTTATGGATAATAATAATAGTTAACATTGACATAGTGGCTGCTATATACTAGGCACTGTACTAAGTACTTTACAAATTATCTTCCTAGATCCTCATAACGACTCTGAGAGGTAGGTGCTTTTTATCGTCCCTGTTCTGTATTTGAGGAAACTAAGGCAAACAGGTTAAATAACTTGTTCATGGTCACGCTACTAATAAGCGTCTGAGTCCAAATCTGTATTCATATCTTCCTGGGTTCCTGGCTACCTGATGATTCAACAACAGCAAGGGTAAAACCGGAAGAATTAAAAGAAACTCCCCCGAACTTGTGCCTGGTAATGTGAGTGAGAAAAGCAGATACAAAATAACAACATACTCAGTAATTACAACTACACAAAATAGGACAGCAATGGAAACAAAACTCAGACTGGATAAAATGGACATTGTTGCTATTAATTTGTTAAAGTTAAAGGTCATACCCTTTCCTTAACAGTAAAGTGCAGAAATGTAGGGGTGTACAGGGTGTTCAGGGATGACTAGCACCTCTAATGGGAGGGCTTGCTGAGTCCTTTTCAGGTGTCCACCTGCCACCCAACTCTCACCTGTGTCTTCAAGAAGCTGTAGCACGCACAGTGGCCACAGCCCATACTGTCTTGGTAGATGGGCTAAACCAGGTTGAGGTAACAGAGAGGCCTCAAACCCATCGGCGAGTTAGGGGGATGACTACTCCAAGCATGTGAAGACTTCCTCTGGCAGAATGGGCAGATGAGAACAACTTGTTCCCGTGGCTGGATCTGAACTCAGGAAGAGGAGTCTTTCTCACTCCAGGCCTGGCACTCTAATCACTGAGCCATCTAGCTATTCTGATTTCATCCTTCCTACCTACAAACGTGCCCAATCTCCCTAGAGTTAAAAAAAAAAAACTTCACTAGATCCTACCGTCTTCTCAAGCCAATAGTCCTATTTCCTCCCTTTTCCAGCCAAACTCCCAGAAAAAGTTCTCTCAGCCCATTGTCTTAATTTCTTCTCATTCACTTCCTAATCCTTTCAATTTGGTTACCTTTTCTCAATTCTCATCCTTTTTGACTTTGTAGCTTTTGATACTGTTTTCTACCCTCTACTCGGTTTTTTTTTCCCAGGCATTTGGGGTTAAGTGCCTTGCCCAGGGTCACAAAGCAAGTAAGTGTCAAGTGTTTGGTCTGAGGCCAGATTTGAACTTAGGTCCTTCTGACTTCAGAGCCAGTGCTCTATCCACTGTGCCACCTAGCTGCCCCTTACTCTCTACTCTTGAATGTTCTCTCCCATCCAACTTTTCATGACACTGCTTTCTCATGGTTCTCCATCTGACTGTTCCTTCTCTAATCCATTTACTGTATCATCATCCATATCATACCCCTATTGGTTGGGTACATAGACCTCCACTCCTATCTTTTCTCTCTCTGCAAACTCTCCCTTGGTGAGCTCATTAGCAACAACCGATTTAATTATATCTATGCAGAGACTCACAGATTTCTACATTCAGACCTAGTCTTAAGGTAACTGGGTAGTATAGTGGATAAGGCACAGGATCTGAAGTCAGGAAGACCTGAGTTCAAATCCTGTCTTGGACACTTACTAACCAATGTGACTCTGGGCAAGTCATTTAATCTCTAACCTCTGTCTGCCTTGGTTTTGTTGTCTCTAAAATGAGGATAATAATAACATCTCCCTCCCAATGATATTATGCAAATAAGATGATATTTTAAGTGCTTTATAAACCTTAAAGCCACGTGTATGTATGTATATATGTGTGTGTGTGTGTGTGTGTGTGTCTGTGTGTGTGTGTGTGTGTATACATATATATGCTAGTATTTATTAGTCTCTCTCCTAAACTACAGTTTTGCATCACCTACTGCCTATTGGATATTTTGAACTAGAGGCCCCATGGACATCTCAAACTTACCTTGTCCAAAACAGAACTCATTACTCATATTTCTAGTTTTGGTTCTTGAAATGGGGTTTTGTGCCAAAGCCAGGCTCTACCCACTGCCATGCTTTGGGGTGGGGTGGTTGGCTCTGCTTGATCTCATCATTGGTCCTTGACTTTGCACTGAGACCTCTTTCTCCAGGATGACCCTCTCTCATCCCCTTCAAGACTCTTTTCGGCATCTCAAGAGAGAATGCTAGGGACCTCAGATCCCTGACTTCAGACTATCCTGATTGAAATGATGTGGCTGTGTGCTGGTTGGCATAAAAATAATCGCTTCTCACCGACATTCTCTCCTCCTTGAGCCTTCCAATGTCCCCAACCAGGGCTGTATGATGGGAACTCTTTGCTCTTTCTCTTTTCAGACACACAGCCTCATGGGTGATATATGTCCATAATCTTTTCTCCAATTTTCTGCTTTCCTTCTAATTTTGATTACATTGGTTTTATTTGTACAAAACCTTTTAAACTTAATGTAATCAGAATTATCCATTTTACATTTCACAATGCTCTATCTCCTGTTTATTCATAAATCCTTCTCTTATCCTTAAGTCTGAAAGGTAATATATTTCATGTTCTTCTGATTTACTTATATCTCCTTTTATGACTAGGTCAGGTATCCATTTTGACCATATCTTGGCAAATAGTGTTAAGATATTGATTTATACCTAGTTTCTGCCAGACTGCTTTCTAGTTTTCCTAACAAATTTTTTAACCAAATAGTGAATTCTTGTCCCCAAAGCTTAAATCTTTATCTTTGCCAAACACAAGGTTATTATAATCATTTCTACTCTGTATTGCATGTCCACTGTTCCATCTTTTTATTTCTTAACCAGTACCAGAGAGCTTTGATAATCACCACCTTATAATGCAGTTTAAGATCTGGTACTGCTAGACCTATTTCCTTTACATTTTAAAAAATTGATTCTTTTGATATTCTTGACTTTTTGTTTTTCCAAATGAATTTTATTTTTTTCTAGCTCAATAAAATATTTTTGGTAACTTAAATGGGAAGGCATTGAATAAGTATATTAGTTTAGGTAGAATTATAATTTTTATTATATGAAGCTTTCCTTGTCTGAAACTCAGATATAAGTTCTTTGTATTCTGAATTTTCTGCAACGTAAGAGAAAAATCTGTCCTCTATTTGATATATTGTTACTATAAGTGCTTGTTTAGGAACAGAAGGCCTTTTTTTAAAAAACCATTTTGTAGAGACCTAGCCACAAGCTGTATGCTAATGTACCCAGGCAATAAGCCAAAGAATGATTTTTTTTGTCTTTCTTTCTTTCTTTCTTTCTTTCTTTCTTTCTTTCTTTCTTTCTTTCTTTCTTTCTTTCTTTCTTAGGCAATTGGGGTTAAGTGACTTGCCCAGGGTCACACAGCTAGTAATCATCAAGTGTTTGGACTGAGGCCAGATTTCAACTCAGGTCCTCCTGACTTAGGGCTGGTGTTCTATCCACTGCGCCACCAAGCTGCCCTTCAAAGAATGATTTATTACTCAAGTCTGAAGAGGTCCAAGATAAATCCTGGGCCATGGGTTACACATGTGTTTAAATATGGGTTAGATCATGTTACCATAAATAGAACTCTCTAATATAAGTATATGTATATATACACACACATATGTATATAGTTGCATATTATTGCATGTTTGAGTATATAGTTAGCCCATACATGAGTAGTATTACTTAACCTTTGACACCATTAAAATAGGTTTCATAGTATCTCAAAACCGTTCAAATAAAAAACAGTGCACAATAGGCCATTGCTAATTATTATAAACATTTATTAAGCACCAAGGGTATACTGCTAGATAAGACATTAAAATGTTAATTTAGTGTCCCTGCCATCAGGCTTACAATCTAAAAGAAGTCACATATTTAGGTGTATTATTAGCCTGTTTTATAATTTCTTTCACTTGGAAAGAGCTATTTTAGCAAATAGGTAAGGCAACATAATGTCTTATTTCAAATATAGTGTTAACAGTCAATTTTCCTTTTACCTTAACATGTTCCCCCTACATATATTTGGCTTATTTCTAAGAGAAATTGCACCTACTCATGTGTAAGTAAGGGCCTTGGTTTATTTCATAACATTTAATTTCTCACCCAGAGGACTTTAAAACTTAAGACAAAGATGTAGAACAGACTACTACTATGGTGTCCTACAAACTGTAAATCTTAGCTAGCGCCTTACTAACCTGAAAAGAATTCTTGTCGTTAGAACAAGTCCTATGGACATAAGTTGTCAAGTAGGCAGCTTGTCTTTGGCATTTCCCTCCCTAAGAACTTTCTCCCTTCCCTGAAAGTCTCTTCCCCTCACACTGCCAGTGGCTCTAATACTTTCCTCCATGAAGGACCTAGCATGTGATAAGCAAATATACATTACAGAATTAAGAGATATTAGCCCTCTCAAGTAATCTGCATTTTAAATGAGGACTGGTGGGGACATTAATGCTCAATACAAAGAAATGAATTGTTAACAATAAAATATCAGTTATTGGGATATACTAGTAGGCAAAAACCTACTGTGCCTACTTATGTATTAAGTATGTCCTGATTAGGCCCATGCAATGATACTTTTTTTTTCTGTGTTTCTCCTCTGCCAAAGACTTCTCAAGATTTGTGTTGATCTTTTTAATATCCAGAGTAATTTTGAAAATTCTACACAACTTTTTGACTGGTACTGAAAAAAGTTCTTCCTAGGTCTTATGTTGCTGGTCATATCTGAGATGATAAAGGCACAGTTTTGAGGAACAGTAATCTAAGGTTTGATTGCAAAAAATTATTTTTTGCATCTGTAGACCCTACAACTTGCAAATAACAGGAACCCAATGCATATTAGTTGAAGGAATACATTTAACTTTAAACTACATATAGATTCTATGTTTTACATGAGGCTGACTTCTTTGGGCTACTATAATGTTAAAACACTGAAAACAAAAACTCATGTAATTTGCTACAGCAAGTTTGAAATCATTACCAAAATTTACCTTGGTGAAAGTTATCTGGGAAACAAGTACTTAATTCAAAGTATTCAAGGGCAGCCTAGTACTTCCCAGTCAATTGATTCAAAAGATGGAAAAATCGTAAAAAAAAATTTCCGACGACCTTCTGGCAAACTGATATTTTTTTCCACTAGAATTCATTTTGAGCACTTTATCTTGGACTGATCCTGATGACAAAAATAGCAGTATTTTTTAAAAAAGGTTCCAGAACCGCATTTTTATTATGTAACAAATCCATATGGAAAGTTAGGTTGAGAAACTGTTGGGTATCTTTTATTTTGGGGCTAAAATTCCCCTTTTCAAAAATGCTTCTGACCAATCTAAGGTCACTTCTACCTCCTTTCTGTTAAAAAAAAAAGAATCTAACTGGATAGTGAAACTGAAATAGAAATTCTGAAGCATAATATGTACATCTCTCACTTTCTGAAAGACAACACATAGTAAATTCCATGAGCTTTAGCTGGCAACATATTAAAAAAAAACCCACATATTTAAGGCTATGGTAAAGGAATTTGGGTTTACTAGTCTAATTAAATTCACTTTTTTTTTATTTGGTATTGTACCAAGCAGCAAGAATTTGTGATTAAAAGATGCAATTTTCTAAGGCAAAGTGTGTTTGATTGTATATAAAGCATAGCTATTAGAGAGAATACTAAAAGAAGTCTGACCAATACAGATAAATACATTCACTGTTTTTAAGTGTCAACATTCCAAGATTACATAAAATTGAGTTTTACGTCCTATTCTAAGACTATAGCTTTGACATTAAGCCTAGAAGCACAATAAGAATACTTGCTTTAATACATTAAAAAATACTTCATATGTCCAATATAGTTAAAGTATAATGTATTTTCAAATACCTGGTATAAATTCTCTGCACAAAAAAAAAAAGAAATTTAAAAAAATGAATACATATTTGCTAGATATACTAACTAGTATGTTATATATCTGAATGAAGGACTAAGATTCATAAAGAATAAGAGTAAAATACAAAACCATGCAGGATAATTATTGCATTTAACAGAAAAATAGCAAAATTCAAGTAATTCTGAATAAATTTGTTTCCTGTCTTAGTAACCCGAAAGTCAAGATCTTTAATCTGATGCACAAAAAAAGTTTAAGATTTGCTTGTTAATTTTTGCTCAATGGCAGTAATTTTCTCTTGACTCTGATTCAAAATTATTCCAAGATTTGGTAAGTGAATCATCCAAAAACTAAGACTTTCATAAAAATAAGTTAGGGGGTTTTTTTGCCTGAATTAATTTAAATTTAATCATATGAAACTTGCTGTGCAAGTACAGTCTATCTACAAATGAGTTTGTGTTGAGAAGGCAAATAAGAGAATTTCAGCTGTGTCCTAAATATGGCCATACAAAAGTTACGGTTCTTCAAGGGAAAGAAGGACAATATAACAACATTGTGAAGCTATTTGTGTACAGAAGCTTTTAAATCCTCACTTTTACAGGATAAAACCTTATAGGAGGATAAATGAAATCAAGTAACATGGGTAACATTTCCTAATCTTTGCATATGAAGGAAGAAATTAAAAACAAACAAACAAAAAGTAATTATTTCCTCCCCAAGGTTTCAGCCAATTTCTTAAGTCTTTTCTTCAGTTCTAATGGAAACTTCTCGTAGCATTTCTTACAGACAGGCTTCATGTCAAACTCCACAAATTTATTCCTAAAAATGTTTTTTAAAAGGGTAGGAGGAGGGGACAGGAAGAAGATACATTAGTGGAAATGTTTCAAACATGACAGCTCAAATGATATGAAGTGATTTTACTGAGTCAAATTAACATATCTTGATGTCCTTCCTGTGTAAAAAAAGACTAAAATCTTACTCCCTTTCACTGTGGCAGAAGACACACTTATCCAGGTCTATACTGATAGTTTTATTACACTAATGAACATTTGGGCATTCACCTTTGAATGTGCCATTTCGAGGAAACAGGAAAAAAAAATTGTACAAGTTTGCCTTGCTTTAAAAAAGCTGTGTTCCTGAAATATTAACCTAATCTAATTTTGGTCATTTTACTTGTTTTAAATCAACTGTTAAGGAGCTCTCTATTTAAAGTAACCTTTTTAGTGAATCCTTTGGCAAACTAGAGAATCTTTTAGCAATGCCTGCCAGTAATTTTAATTTTTCTTCTGTAAGAATAGATTCATGGGACTATAAACATATCATTGTGTCACAGGACTGCTCTGATCATTTGGTAGCAACACTATATTACCGAAGATTTTACATTAAGTGGCTTGGAGAATTTTTCCCTTCCTAGAATTAAATGGGTTTTCCCACAAAATACTTATGTTTTGACCACAAAAAAAGTGATAATGATAAAATGGCTGTTCACATTACAAAAAAATTTCACAGAAACTAAAAAGCTTTGGAAAATTCTTAGGACTCTTCCCCTCCCAATCCACCATGGCTTATTTTGTAACTGTATACAGATTATATACACTGTATATAATATCAAAGGCCAAACAGCACAACTTTCACTTCACAGAAAAACTTGGGGTAAAGAGGAAAAAAAGGAAGATTGGGCTACCTCCCCCTCTATAGCCAGAAGGTGGATACCCACGGTGTACTCATTTCAAAAAGGCCATCTCAATGATTTGCTAGCTTTGGAATCTAGAATTTTAAATTAAATAGGGTGAATATGTAATTCCTTAAAGCCATCCAATTCTTTGAAATTCAGTCAACAAGCATTTAATGAGTGAGCAGAAAAGCTCATATTTTTTAAAAAAAAAAGAGGAAGAGAGAAATGGATGAAATACTTCAGATTTCAAAAATTCTGTGATTAAGTAGCAATTTTTAAATCAACATAACAGCAGCACTAAATTAGATGTAAGCCTCAACAAAAGTTTAACATTTGAGCAATTTTGTTATTAAAGTTAAATTATTAACAATTTGCCCTTAAAAAGAAGATACTTTGGATTTTTACATCAATATCAAAATTACTTTTTGGATCTTCCTGTAAAGAGGTTCTTCTTTCACGGACAATTCAAAGAAAGGCTATTTTCAATTAGAATAAAAATACAGTTAAGATTCCATCAGTACAAATAATGACTCCCCTGAACAGGATGTATGTATTCAAATTCACACTATTTTAAGTTATAATTATGTAAAATATGGTCACTGGTTCCAACCTAATGGAAAGATAAAGTATGAATTTGAATAATGTTATCACTCCAGGGAAACTCATTATTTGTATTAATAGGGACCTAGATGTACTTAAATATTTCAGGTAAGTAGTTTCATATAAGATATCTTGCTTGATTGTATTTGCATCCCCAGCATTTAGCACAGTACCTCCCATATAAAAATTGCTTTATAGATACTTTTTCTTTCATTCATTCAAATATCATTATTAGATGATGTATTTTCCACAAAAGTCATCCTATCACTAAAAATACTACAAAATGCTACTCCTTTTCACAAAGTTAGACATTACCACTATTTTCTAGAAAGCTTCTTGATAAACTGTCCATATTCTCATTGTTTATTGCTAAGTTAGAGTCCCTCTCTGGAAACTGAAGTGTGGAAAAGAAATACAAAATGCTGTTATGATAAGGTAATGTTTTAAAAACTTAGAACACATATAAGTATAGAAGAAATAGGAAAAGCATGCTTGCTGTGCAACAGGATGTAAAAGGATGAAATACTGTTGTTTGAATTCTGGAATTAAATATTCTTTGTAATTCTCCATAAAGAGATTTTTTAAATGGTAGTGTCAAGACAATTGGTAGGCAAACAGACATACTAAAGATTTTTTCCTGTTTTTTAATGATACAGTCTTGAATAGATAAAAAGGACAGAGTCTATCAGATAGGTTAACATACCAAAAGGGCTTTTAAGGAATAATTTTAGGTCTATGTTATATGAAATTCTTGAATGACTACTACGTATTTAACACTTTTAAGTATTGTGGTATCCTAAGAATACAGTTCACATATAAAATATTTTAAAACAGTAAAACCAAGGGCTAGGAATCAGTAAGCCAAGATACATCAAATTAAAATTCACCTACATATATGTGAGGCACTGTGCTAGGTATTAGGAATGCCAAGACAGATAGAATCTAGAATCTAGACCCTGTTCTCACTAAATCTGCAATCTAATTGGGGGTAGTAGGATTAAGGGGAAGGCCTCTCAAAGAAGTGTCAACTGACTTGTAACTGTTAGGAAGGACAAGATTTCCAAAGACCAAGAAGGTACTGAGGTGGTAGGAAGAGAGGGGAATGGGCATTTTAGGAATGGGTGGGTGATAGAAGCAAAGGTATGAAGACAAAACAGAACTAGAGGAGAAAGAGGAATTAACAGTGGTCTAGTTTATCTGGCAGGGAGAGTACATAAAGGGGAATAATATGATAAATGTCTGAAAGCGTGAGAGCCAGACTGGATGGTTTTGAACGCCAAGATAAGTTCATATTTTATTTATCAGGCAATGGCAGGTCAAGCCATTATGGGCTATAGAGTAGTAAAGATTTTTTAAAAAGGAGTAAAATAAGATTATTTGAACAAGGTTGTGAAGGATGGATTAAAGACTAGACAGAATGGGGACCTGAGGACCAACTGGGATGTTATTAAAATAGTCTAGTCAAGAGGTCTGAGGTTATAGGAATGGAAAGGAAGGAATAAATTTGAGACATACTGCCAAGGTAAAACTGACAAGACTTTGCAACTGATTGGCTGTGAGTTAGAGGGAAGAGTCAAAGGTGATTCTATGGTTATAAGTCAGGAAAGACTGGGAAGAAGGTAGTGCTGTCAATACCAATGAAGAATTTAGGAGAAAGGGCAGGTTTTGAGGGGAAGATGAGTTCAGTTCTGGACATGTTGAGTAGTGGTGGGACATAAAAGTGGAGACAGTCATCAGGCACTCTGGTACAAGTAAAATACTAGAGGATGGTTAGAAATCTTCTTCACAGGGTGACAATTAATGCTGTGGATTCTGATGAATGTAATGAGGAGAGAGAAAAAAGAATGAAGAAAAGAGTGTCAAGGACCGAATCTTGGAGGAAAAGCTTAAGGGGTAGAAGGAGCCCACAAAAGAGACAGAGGTCAGAGAGACCATAAGAACTTGGTTACAGAAAGTGAGGGAAAGAGATATTATTAAGAATAGTAGAGGTCAACAATGTAAGTACAACAGAAAGATTATAAAAGATAAGAACAGAAAAAGAATAATGTATTTAGTGATAAGAAGGTCTTAGTGACCTTACAATGAGCTTTTTCAGTAGATAATGAGAGATGGGGAGGAACATGTATGATGGTGCAATGTCACAGAGAAAAATGGAGGGGACCAGACTCAGGACACAGCTAGAGAAAGAGGCTAGCTTTAGCAAGAAGGGCTATCAAGAGAATGTAGAGAATGAGGAAAGAACAGGTAAGGATATTGAGAGATCTGGAGAGGGAATATTTGTAAAGTACTTAGGCATAATGCCTGACATTATGTAAATGTTAGCTATTATTGTTATTAGGTAAAAGAAGGGAGCTTAAGGGAGTCCATATTGTGTGGACTCAATTAAGGCAGGAGATGAGGGCATCTGGTGACAGTGAGGGAAATGGGGTGAAATTTGAGGGCCTAAGGAGTAAAGAGGAGAGTCAATATGAGACAAGATCGTCTTGTAGCAGCGAGGACCCAGCTGAGGTTAGTTAAACATAGACAGAAATGGATCCAATCATAATTTCCCCCAGCAGCATTCAGAGAGTAGGAGCAGAGGAGGAGGCAGGCAGTAGGGATTACCCAGTGGATGAGGATCAGCAAAGTAGAAACAGAAGAAAGTCAAGTACACAGGGGTAAGAAATATTTACAAAGCTCTCCCACTCTACTTAACAAAATCAAGATTCTTCTCTTATAAATCTATTTATTTTCAGGCACCTAGGTGATTCAGTGGATAAAATTCTGGGCCTGGAGTCAGGAAGACCCAAGTTCAAATCTGGTCTCAGTCACCTAACTGTGTGACACTGGCCAAGTCACTTAACTTCTGTTTGCTTCAGTTTCCTCATCTATAAAATGGGGATAAGAGTCTACTTTGAAGGGTTTTTGTGGAGGTAAAATGAGATAATATTTGTAAGGTGCTTTGCAAACCTTAAAGTGCTACCATTATACTAGCTATTATTTTAGACACTGACATCTAGTTAAAATAAAAAGAGCTTAAAAACAAAACTACCGATCTTGCAAAAAAAAAATTACTTAACACAGGATTAGTTTAATCACGGATCTGTCTGAAAGGCTTTCCAGCTTTAGTAATCTAACTGGCAGACTCCAGATGCATACATGATAATTACCAGTATTTCAACCTCTTTGATGGTCACAAACACATGCGAGAGAGAGAGAGAGAGAGAGAGAGAGAGAGAGAGAGAGAGAGAGAGAGAGAGAGAGAGAAACACACAGAGAAGAGAAAAGAAAAAGTTCCTGAAGCACTAACCAAAGGAAAATGCTGAAAGAAGGGATAGAAAAGTTTACAAACAGACTGGCTTTTTCTTTTTCTGCTTGTCTTTATCCTTCGCTTCTTTCTCCCGTTTAGCAAGTCGCCGCTTAAATTCTTCTGGCATTTTCTCGTAACAGTGTTTGCAGACTGGTTTTAGATCAATTTCAATAAACTTATCCCTTTGAGCAGAACAAAGAAGAGACAGAGGAAAGAACATAGGACAGTTAAAGAAAGAATCTTTGATTTTAGGAGCCCCGGACAGAAAGGATAAATAAAAAGTCAAAATCATAGGATGAGTTTCTTTGAAACTCTACACACACTTTTTCTTTACCTCTCATCATTTTTTTTTTCACTTCTAAAGATTCACCCGGACTCAAATCACAGAACTTACTTGAGAGTTAACTTAGTGTTGCAAGTAGAACAGGCAAAACAGTTCACACACCAGGCCTTATTCAGGGCTGAAACAACTAGAAAAAGAAGGAGCAGACTCTGTCAATAATCACAAGGTTGCTAATAATGTGTCAAAAAAATCTAAAATTCATTTACTTAAAATGCAGCTAAAACTATTTCATTCCTTTGCTTTGGATCAGCAGCCATCAGCAATACAAGTGAGAGCATTGGCCAAACCAAAAACACTCACCTCATAAGAAAGATTTAAATTAAATGGTATCTCCTCCAAATTAAAAGTAAAACAAAACCTCTCATAAATTTAATCTAACTGCTCCAAATTGGGTATTCATTTATTCACTTTTGAGGAGTCTATCTTCCTGGCTGATAAACAGAACAAAACTTAAGAGTGACTCTTACCATTTTTAATGATTTTTTTTCTTTAAAAAAAAAGATTGATTGCAAAGCTAATATTTGACATCAATACAACTAAGTAACAGGCTTGGAAACTATTTACATTTAAATAAATTTCAACACAAATTATCTTACAACTTTTTAGTTACTCCCTCTCAAAATCCATTAGGATTTTGTGTCCATTCATTTTTCTCTTCTATGGTTTTAATCAGTATGTATCCTATTTTTTTGTCTTTTCATTATTTCATAAAAGTCTTTATAGATTTTTTTATATTCCTCTTATTTGCCTTCATTGTATTATCGTATTCTAGTACATTATTCATCATAATTTATTTAACCCCCCCCAAAATACACACATACACACACACCCCTTTTTCTACTGGTAAACTACTCCCTTTTTCTACCTGGTAAGCTGTTTTGTACAGGAAAGAGTTAAGTGGTGGCGACTTCCATAGATTTTATTGCTTGCTTTCTGAACACTAATCCTTTTGCCAATTGCATGGGGGCAGTGTGTTTGAGAAAGTATTTCCTGAGTGAGGCCATGTCTGCAAAGAACCATAAAGCATGCCGGCATCCAGGATGTTTCTGGTAGAACTGTGCTTGACAACCATTTCCAAACACAGCTGTTTCCTTTCTGTTCCAGTCAATTAGAACTAGCTGATTACCAAGGTACCAGAGTGATAAGAACTCCAGAAATGCTTCTTGGTGCCGGTGCCAGGGCATCAGCATCTGCAGGGTTAGGGCTGTTTTCCCAAACAACCCCAGGAGCTGAAGCTGTTCCTCATAAACATGTACCATTAGTCTCCATGGTTTGTAATCATAGTTGGTATGAAAATAAAACAGGATTCCTCCCCTGAGTTCACTAGCAGTTTGTAACAATGGTTCTCACACTACTCATTGTCATATCAATGACACATCTGGTAGAAGTGAATGTCTGTGATGAGGAGAGAAGCAGAAGTTTATGTGCTATGTGATCCTGAAGTCCTTATTTAAAATTCCTTCTTGCCCACAGTCTAATTCTTTGGGAATTTAGGCTTCTGATAATTGACTGAAATAAATATGATGCTGCATTTAGAATCTGCTTCTTTAGCCATGAGCATCACATAAGATATGAAATAACTATTCTAAGTTCAAGGTGGCAAGCATCTTTCCTTTTTTTGGTGATAAATCTGACTCTGCTGACAGCGTCAGAGCCTCACTCCAATATGACAGAAACAGAAATGAAGATGATAATCACATTCTATAAATAACAAAAGGCAAGCTCATTCCTTGTGATTTTCTACGTGTTTCATAAGATTTAAACAGAGGCTTACCATCCCCTTCGATGACACGGTTACAGTGGAAACAAACATCGCCAAATAGCTGTGGATCGGAAAAAGTAAAAAAGGAAAGTTTAAAACTTCACTGGCAATATGAAAGGAACCATTCTACATCTCTTTCGTGCTTAGAAACAAAAAATAGTGGGTACCAGGAACTACCAAAAATTACTCTTCAGATTAGCAATCCAATTGCTCATAGTAGGAAGTTGCCAAAAGGATAACTCAGTTTTCTTAATGTTGAAAAAAAACCCATCTCTATAATAATGCATTCAATTTTTTAAATTGGTAGCTCCAGCTTTTTATATAACCTTCATTTGTGAATATATCTTTATTCCCTCCCTTACCTAGGAAACCACCCCTTCTAACAAAGAATAAAAGAGAGAAGGAAAGAGAGAGAAAGACTAAACAACAGAATAACTGAATCACATAGTTGTGTTCCATACACAGTCCCCATCCTCTGCTAAGAAGAGGAGGTCACTTTTATGTTGTTGGTTTTTTTTTTTAAAGAGAAAACCTTACAACTCATAATAACAAGAATATCTGATTTTTTTAAAAAAAAGAGTAACAATCACCTGATTGTAGTGAGTTTCACAATATGCCAGACCCTTCCTTTCATAATGACGATGACCAAGAAATGGCTTCTCACACTTGGCACAGACAAAATGCTGCAAAGAAATCACATAGATCATTTCTGAGTTGCCTTGTTTTACTTTAACATTGACAGCTGAATATTGGAATTCTGAAATACAAAAATCTACATGTGACAAACTGGCCACTTCTTTTTGACCACCGAGCAAAATTCTAAACTCTGCCCTCTAGAAACCTGAAACAGGCTGCTTTGGAACGTGACCTACTCAAATGCAAATGCAAAAAAGGGATGGGGATTTTTTTGATGCAGATATAAGGGAGCATTAGTGATGTGGAAGACACATATCAGAAAAGACCCACAGTATAAATCCGGTACTCAAAAGATACTCTGTACCAGGGTTTCCTAACAGTTTTTGGTTGTCATACTCTATCCTTACTCCAACCCCCAAATTTCAGTAAATTTCCCCATACCCTCTATTCAAAATGAAAGGAAAGAAGTTCTATTGTTTATCATGCATATATATACATACAAGGAATAAAATAGATGTTAATTTTTCATAAAGAAAATTTTATTTAGTACAAAACATTTTTTGTAACATAAAGTTGTTAGGTGTTTATCAGAACACAGTAAAATAAATTAATAAGACCCTTGATTTGGTTTGTCAGCTAATAGCATTGTCCTTTGTGTAGTTTTTGAGAGAGATAACTACAAGTTACATTCAGTCTCCAGTTTATTTCTTCCTTTAGATGTGATTGAGAGTAAGACTGAGATTCAGAGATAACTTGTTATGTCTGCCTTGTAAGCATCTTTGGTAAGAATGAGATAGGCTTCCACAAGAGTATAACAACAATTCTGTGACTTCATTGACTAGAAATCAGATTATGTGGGAGATCAATTAGCTTGTCTTTCACCAAGTCGCTGCCACTGGGGTTCTGTATCTAAACCTCATTCATTTGGTTTTGGTCAGGAGGAATTATTTCTTCAGTCATCTCTTTCAGGTTTTTCAAATGCTCTACAATACTCCCTCTCCCTTTCCTACCTCACCTCCTAAACAATTCTCTCTCCATTCCATAAATGTTTTCACTAATTTGACAATACTTGTAATACTTCAGTAGCATAATACAGTTATTTACAAAACATTCCTTATACTTTCTTAAGAAGGTTTCTTGGGGAGTGTGTACCGCAGATTGGGATCACCTGTTCCCATCATTGACCTGAATCACAGAATCCATCTCAAGAGGAAATGCTTAATAGTTTTCTGTATTTATTTAAAAATTGAGTAAGAGATCTTCTTGATAATATGGAAAGTCAAAGAAAAAGAGTTGTTCTCACAACCAGGTTCTTACCTCCACATGCCACTGCTTGCCCATAGCATTTACAACACGTCCTTCAATAGGCCGTCTACAGGCCCCACAAATGGGGACCCCCATTTTGTCATGACATGGCAAGCAATACAGTTCTCCTTTCAATTCACGAGCATCAGCAGTCAATTCTTTCCTGTCATCAAGAAAGTTAGCAAAATTAGCATACATTCAAGGGACAAGAAAAAAAAACAGGCAATATTTTTTACCTAATGCATTCTCTGTAATGATATTTTTAAAGACATCATTAGAAAGTCTCTCTCTCTCTGGTTTCTATTCTGTTAAAATTCAAGGACTAAGAGAGAACTAAGGATCACAGTAGTTTAACAGGAGATCTGGGCTCTTTAATTCTTGTCAAAACCAACCAAGTTGGTTACAGTATGACAGAAAATCATTTAAAATAACATAATATGGACACGCTGCAGGGGAAGTCAGATATGTACCACCATGTTAATAATCATATTTACCTTTCTTCCCGTCACAAGATCTCATTTTATTCTAGCTAGATCCTCTCATCTTCTAGGTTCTAAATGTTATAGCAAAACAGTCACCACTGCTAAGAGCAGTCTCAATGCCACTATCAAGTCTGAGGGAGTTTTTTCTTTTTTCTTTATTAGTAGAAATCTATTTTCTCTCCATTCCATCAGCCCCCATCCCCCCCAAAAAAGACAAACAAAACCCTCGTAACAAATATGCACTGTTGACCAAAACAAATTGTGAGAGTCTTTCAAAACTAAGCTGGGGACCAATTTTATTTAGTACTATTTATTATATTCATAATATAATGTTGCTGTGAGGAACAGCCATTTCTCTTCTATAAATAAGGTAGTGTAAAATGGGAAGAGCCTGACTGAAGCCTAAAGAAAATATTTAAAACTTCCTTTTTGAGTCATTAGCTTTCCTTCTGTTTCAGTAAACCATTTGCCAGGGCTGCTCAAATAAATCAAAAGGAATAGTCTGAGTTTCATTTCCATTTGATATTCTCTGTGCAATAATACTCACGACTCTAATGAAGGTGTTAATGGAAATTAAATAGCCAATGGGTCACAAGAATGAGAACACATGATTCATAAGCTAGATGATTAAGTCTCTGAAAACTTCCAAGCTGATAACACAAAAGAATTTTATTTCACCCTTTCAACTCCCTCTCCTCTATCCTGACTCCTGACAATACAGCCTACAGAGCACTTTTTAAATGGGCATTCTTCCTTTCTTGATAGCTATTTGGGAGAAAATGCATACTTCATAACATTTAAAGGTGGAAGGCTTTCTTTTTAAAGACAGAAAATAGTGTTGTTTTACAATTGAAATCAAACCAAATTAAATCATTCTGATTTAAATAAAACTCTTAAATAAACTATTTTACCCGCAGTTGGCACAGTTGAAATGATCCGGATGGTAAGGGTCATTCTTGAATATAAGAGGCTGCTCATCAATGATGGCATGGCACTTTTGGCAAATATACTTCCCAAGGCCCCTGGCTTTCTCACGATTATGACAAGGACGACAAAGATGTCTAAAAGGAGCCAAAAAGGAAGACCAAATCCAGTAAATTTGTTTATTTGGAATGTTATGTGTTGAAATTAGGAAAACAACTTTAAGGATTTTCCCAACGACCTAGAAAAATAAAAATAGAACTTTTTAAGGGAAACCCAAGTTTCAGACAGGAAAAAATAAACCCAAATCCAAAGCACAGTCATCTTTGGCCACCAGGGGGCCTAAACATTTAACAAGATGAAAAGATCATAGAATCATAGATTTAGCTGGAAGGGATCTAAGAGGACATTGAGTACAGCCCCCTCATTTTACAGATAAGGAAACTGAGGCCAACAGAGGTTAAGTGACTTGCCCAAGGTTGCAGATATATTAAGTAGCAGACCTGGGATTCCAACCCAGACATTCTGATTCCAAATCCCCCACACTTTTCATTGCACCAGGAAAGGCTGGAGGGGAGGGGAGGTGTTGGTGCTAAAAGAAAAGGAATACTTCTTAGTATTTAAGTTGGTGAATAAGAACAACAAAAATGCTCATATCACTACATATAATTATTTATTTTAAAACTTACTGTTGTGTGGAGGTGATCATATGTGCACACATGCACATACACATATGTGTGTAGGTATATGTATTTGTGTGTGTACATATACACACATACATGCATACACATATATGTTTGTGTCAAATGGTGGCCTCATTAGTGTGGGGTAGAGACAGACGGAGGGAGACAGTTCAGGATTTAAAATGCTAACAAAAAAATAAATTTAATTTAAAAAAAAGTTAACAGATATGTTTTAAAATAACCATTTCCTGATACGCCCTGCTCATTGAAAGCTCTCTTGCAAGTATGAAAAACAGTTGAGCCAAACCAATCAAAACAGTAACTATCTTAACAATGCGTGCAACATTCTGCAAGTGCAGTTCCCCACATCTTTCAAAAGAGGAGGGAAGGATATTTCTCATCATCTGTTAATTAGACCAAGACCTGACCATGTGTTTTTATGGTTATACAGGTTTTGAAAAGAACGCATTCCAGCATATCCTGCCCAGCTGAGAATGAGTGGAGGAAATGCACAAGCTAATTGACTGAAGTTTGATCAAAGCAACTCATGAAGACCGTCCATGACAGCATGGACAATGGCATGGGATCTATCCCTGGAAGCAGTACTTACATGAGGGAAATCTTTGGGAAGATGGAAGGACGGAGGAAGGATGGAGGAAGACCAAGCAATGGCTTTTCCCAGAAGAAATCACTTTTAAAACTACAAAGAATTTGATTCAGACAGTATTCACAATAATAATGGAAAGAGTTGTGGCAATAGGAACGTGTCCGTTAAAAGCGCTCTTTGGGAATATTATAGAAATAACACAAGTCTAAAAGACAGAAGAAGTAAATGTCACAGTGTGAGTTTCGTGCTTGATCTTCAATAAGCTGCCAGTCTCTTTTCTGAATTCAATGCAATTCGACAAACCTTTATTAAGCAGCCAGTCAGTGCAGTGGAAAGAGCTCTGGACTTGGCATCGGGATGACCAAGTTCAAATCCAGACACTTACTAGCTGTGTGACCCTGGGCAAGTCACTTGACTTCTGTCTGCCAACGTTTCCTCAACTGTAAAATGGGGACAATAATAATAATAACATTAATATGAATATGAATAGCACCTGCATCTAAAAGTTGTTGTGAGGATTAGTTATTTGTAAAGCACTTAGCACAGTGATGGTATGTACTAAGTAGGTACCTCATAAATGCTTATTTGCTTGTTTTTTCCCCAAAAAACTAGTAAGACCCTAAGAATACACATCCTATGTCACCTTTTTTTCCTTTTTTTTCCTTTTTTTTTTTGGCAAATTGGGGTTAAGTGACTTGCCCAGGGTCACACAGCTAGTAAGTGTCAAGTGTCTGGTCTGAGGCTGGATTTGAACTCAGGTCCTCCTGACTCCAGGGGCAGTGCTCTGTCCACTGCGCCACCTAGCTGCTCTTCCTATGTCACCTTCCACAAGCATCCTGGCTCCCTTTCCTAGCAAATGAATAAAACAGAGAGACTTCAGTGAGTCAACATAGTGAGTTCACTCCTTCAGACCTTATTTCTATTCAGATTTTGAGAACTGGCCCCTAAAAAAGCCCTGGACAAGGAGTAGGAGAAAAAAAATTGAGACACATTACTCTTGTGATAATCACTTTCCGGAACCACAATTTTTGTTTGATATGGATGTAGTCAGAACCTACCTCCCAGCATTCTTGACAAACCCGATGTCTGCTAGGACTTGTTGGCAGAGATCACAGCAGAAGCATCCAGGGTGCCAGCTGTTGTTCATGGCTTTAATAACTCGACCAATGATAAATTCACCTGTGAGGAAATAAAATACCAGGCTGCTTAAAAGGGTGTCAAAGATACTGGTGCTGAAGACAAGGAAAAGTTCCAGAAGAGATAGTTTCTCTATTAATGATAATTGCATCTGTATGTGTGAGCATAAATGTGTGTGTGTGAGAGAGAGAGAGAGAGAGAGAGAGAGAGAGAGAGAGAGAGAGAGAGAGAGAGAGAGAGAGAGAGAGAGAGAGAGAGACAGAGACAGAGAGACAGAGAGACAGAGAGACTGACAGAGAGAAACAGAGTAAACAACTCTGACCGAGAGAATTTTCTATGTGAACTTCCTACTGGTGCTTGTTATCCTCAAGCCATAGTTTTATGATTTCACCTTTTCACCTTTCAGTTGCCACTGCTGTTTGTCCTTTGTTCTCAAAGAGGACCAATGACATCACGAGGGTGATGTCTTAACTTGTGAATGAACAGGATGTAAGTGAGGCAGAGCTGCACAAAATCATCAGCCTCGCTCTCTCCTCCAGAGTCAAAGACCAGTGGCAAGACAAAGGTCAGAATGACTGGCGATGGCCTAAGATGAAGTGGATGACTTTGGCCTTTCTAAATTAAAGTCTTTCCATATTTCTGAAATGGGCCTCTTTCCTTTTATCTGACAATGGATTTTCTTTTATTTGCCTATATTATTGCTAGTAAGGGACAGCATGAATAATCGAAATTCACAGATACCTTAAAACCTCCTTATAAGCCCATAGTTAATTTCTTTTGCCACCAAATCTTTGCTAAGGTTCATATGGTGGTGATTCCAGTTTCCCTTGCTCTCTGTATAAATTCTGGTGGAGGGGCTAAGTTGCTAAAAGACAAAGGAAAAAAGGACAAGCAAAAGACCTGGCTAACCTATGAGCAATGGCTGAATGTCTTCCTCCTTTAGATTCATTTCTTTTTTTCCATTACATGGAACCAGAAAGTAAAAGTTTTCCCATTAGGCTGCACAAGTGTGTGAAAAGTATATTCCAAGCTGTTACCTAACAGAGGGCTGAGTCGATTGCAATCCATTTGTGAACATTCTGAAAGCCTTAAGCCCTCATGAATTAAATTCATTTTGAGGTGTATATGTTTGTTTTGAGGCCCCTACAGACATTTTGAGAGGTTTACTAAGTACCTTGAAGTTGTTTGGCAGGTTTAATGGAGACTGTTATAATCGACACTTTTTAATCCAGTTTTGTTGACTTGTTTATATGTGGAGGAAATGTAAAGAAGATTCATCATCTTGTTTAGGTGCTATGACTTACCACACTGGTGACAGCATGGGGCAAAAAGCATCTGAAAATCATGTTCACAGTACTTCCTTCCTTCAAACTACAAGAAAAATACACATCAGTTAATATGTGTTGAGTACCACAGGGTGCAAATGATACAATGCTATGAAGAAATACAGAAAAAGAGTTACTAAACAAAAAATTCTGCTCTACAAGTTTACAAATTCACTTGAGATAAAACAAACATTGATGAAGTACAGATTCTTTTGTATATATTTATGTATAAATACATTTGAGAACCAATGTACAAATATATGATTTGGTAGAAAGGTCAAGTTTAGGCTAGGTCTGAACTTGTACTTCTTGCTTATTTAAGGATGGATTCCTGGAGGCAGCTTCAAGCCGTCAGTGGAAAAATGCAGTTTAATGAATGAGACTGACTTTAAGGTGGCTTAGGGTGAGAGATTACTTTAGTCGACCAATGAAGCAAGGAAAAGGCGAAGTAGATTGATGGAAGCTGATATGGAAGTGAAACTGCTCATGGGAAGAACGTTATAGGACTGTAGGATTTAGAGTGGAAGACCAGAGGTCACCTGGTCCAATCCTCTCAAACCGAGAGGTCCCTTTTGCCTGCTGAGCTCCTATACACACTTTAAAGGCCAATTCAAATGCCACCTCTTTCTTCACAATGCTTTCTCTGATATCCCTAGCTTGTAATGGCCTCGCCTGTCAGATCCCACATATCATTTTGGGAAGCCTCCAATACACTTAAAATTTTTTTTCTAAATTTTTTCTTTCACTCAGCAAAAAAAATAAACCTTTTCTCCCTTCTACTCTACCAGTTGAAAAAGAAAGACAAGCCCCCAATACAAAAACATACACTTAAAGGGGCAGCTAGGTGGCGCAGTGGATAGAGCACTGGCCCTGAAGTCAGGAGTACCTGAGTTCAAATCTGGTCTCAGACCAAACACTTGACACTTACTAGCTGTGTGATCCTGGGCAAGTCACTTAACCCCAACTGCCTTAAAAAAGAAAGAAAGAAAGAAAAACATACACTTCAGCAAAACAAATTTCTGCCGTTGTTGTTCTGTCATTTTCAATTGTGTCAAACTCTTTGTGCGCCCAGTTGGGGTTTTCTTGGAAAAGATACTGAAGTGGTTTGCCATTTCCTTCTCCAGCTCATTTTAAAGATGAGGAAACTGAGGCAAATGGCATTAAGTGACTTGCTCAGGGTCACCCAGCTAGTAAGTATCGGAGGCTGGATTTGAACTTAGGTCTTCTTGACTCTAGTCCTGGTGCTCTATCCACTGTGCCACCTAGCTGGATTATGTCCAAAAACACCCATCTCAATCTGCACTCTGAGTCCTTTACTCCTATCAGGAGGTTGGCTGACGCTCAGAGACGAGTCCTCCAGAATTAGGGTTGATCACTGTGTTGATCAGAGTTCCTCAGTCTTTCCGAGTTCTTAGTCTTTACAAGAGCATTGTCACTAGATCAGTTGTTCCAATTCTGCTCCCTTCTCTCTGCATCACTTCACATAGATCTTGCCAGGTTTCTCTGAAACCTTCCCCTTTATTATTTCTTTTTTTAAAGTACATAATTAATTAATTTACTTTTAGTTTTCAACATTCACTTTCATAAGATTGAGTTTTAAATTTTCTCCCCCCTCCACCACCCCCTGCCAAGATGGCGTGCAATCTGATCCTTTCGTTATTTGTAATCGTACAATAGCACTTAGTACTGTGTCTGGAACATAGTAAACACTTAATAAATGTTTCCTGATTGACTGATAGTATTCCATCTTGTTCACAGCATTCCCGATGTCACCTCAGCCTCTTAGGATCACTTATTTCCTTTAAAACTTACTTCAAAAGCCAAATTCTTATCTTCTCCCCTAAGTGTTAGTCCCACTCCACCCTCCATTACTTTGCATTTATTTTGCACACAGCTTATAGGCTACCTTTTGATGAACATGTTATTTCCCTTGATAAAACGTAAACTCCTTGAGGGCAGAGACTATTTAATTTTTATCTTTGTATCCCCCTGAACTTATTGGGAAAAAAGCTGTTTACAATCATGTCCTACTTCTTCAGCATCCACTTTTCATTTAACCTCTGGCAATTTGACTTCTCCTGCCACTACTCTACTGAAATTGCTCTCTTTTTAAGGTTGCTAAGAACATCCTGACTGTTTGCTTACCACACTCTCATACTTGGGTAGGCTATTCTCTCTTGATTTCTGAGAAACCTCCCCTCTCCTGATTCTCTTCTTACCTAACTGCTCCTTTGTACTCTCTTTCACTATCTTTCCATCCTCTCAAGTTCGGTTGTCATCAAGGATGTCATCATCCCTCTTCTTTTATTTATCTACAATCTCTCCTTTGGCAATCTCAGATACTTTCCTGGCTTTAACTATTCCCTCTCTGCAGATGGCTCCCAAATTTGTATCTCCTGACCTAGCTTCTGAACTTTAGCCTCATGTCCCCATCTCATGTGCTCTCTTTTCTTGCACTTTCTACCAGCACTTCAAACTCTTCAGGAACCTTATGCTCCACCCAGGATGAGCTGATCACCTGAAATCTTATCATCATGCAGAATGATTCTGTTCAGATATTCAGTACTTTCCCATTTCCCTCAGCTTCCTCTCCCCTCTGACTGGAAGGCTGGAGAGTGGAGTGCTAAATTCCTCCCAGTGCTTTTCTTTAGAGAGGGCAGAGATCTGGACTTTCCAGATAACTCTCCACTTGCCATGTGAAGCTCTGTTTGGTTTGGACTCCAGGTACCCACCAGCGCCCCTTCCTTTCCATTTCCTTTTGTGTGTTTTCTTCCCACAATAGACTGTAAGCTCCTTGAGAGCAGGGATTACCTTTCCTTTTCTTATTTGTATCCTCAGCATTTAGCACAGTGCCAGGCACCTAGTAGGCACTTAAATGTTTACTGAATTTTTAAAACTAAGGTAATTATGTTCTTCCCCAAGCTGGTTCTTTCTTTTGACTTCTCTAGAAACCTTGAGGAATAGTTGGCTCTTCCCCTTGATCTTACTTCTGTCCATAGGTGCAGAGATTTATAGAGGGAATTATTACATGTAATAGCATTAGAGTTATACGTTGGTATCTTATCCCCCTACTAGACTGAAAGCCTCATGAGTGTACAGATCACATCTCACAAAAACTTTGTATCTTTCCTGTTGCCAAGCAAAGGGCTTTAATAAAGGAAATTAATAAGGGTTTCTTGAGTTAGTAACAGAATTAGGGGTTTATATTAAATGGTATAATACCAGGCAAAGTTTTGGTCTTTATGGGCTGCAAAAAATCTAGACATTTATTTTCTATTTTTCTGGTCATAAAGTGCATTGAAATGGCTAGATCTTCAGACAAACAACTGTTCTAAACCAGAGAGATTTTTAACTTGTCTGACATTTCCATCTCTCTCTGCCTTTCCTGAATGATATCATTCAGGATTAGAGGAAATAAGAGGATGAAGATGGAGGCTGTTTGTGCCAGAAATCTTTGAAAACAGCTCTCCCAATAAAATCACCCATCATAAGGGTGTCTTTCCTGTTACGTATTTTTAATTGAGGGAAAATAAGGGTAATAACATATATTTAGTTAAAGTAACGAAGCGAATATTTTGAAAATATATGTGCTTTAAAATGGGTTTTATCCCCAAATCCAGAAGATTGACCAAGAAGTAGAATTCTGATGTTTATTTTATGGAAGAAGCAAGCAATGCTAGGTTAAGAGATCAATCCCTGGCCATACATTGTCTATGAAACAACAAAGGGTAGGAAATAGCATTTTGGATGTGCCAGTCAGTCTAGTCGTCAACTTTGGTGAAACTGTGATTCCCCATCATTGTTTGTTAGATTTTTAAATCACTGAAGAGCTTCACTGGGAGCAAGTTCAAGACACCCTGGGATGTCACAAAACCAGGATTAGAGCTCTTCTCTCAGTAACTGAATGAAATCTCATGAGACCTAATGACTCCTGCATCTACATGTTCAGCTCTCCTCTTTCTCCTGAGTTCCAGCTGTGTACCTCCAGCCACCCTGCAGGATTGTGCCACCTGGATGTCCTACTAATATCTCAAAATCACTATCATCATCATCACTGCCAACATATGTAGCACTTCTTATATGCCAGGTATTGTGCACTTTACAATTATTATCTCTATTTGATCCTCACAACAACCCTGAGAAGTAGGTGCTATAATAATATAATAATAATAATAATAATAATAATAAATAATAACAATAATAATAATACCCATATTATTCCCATTTTACAGATGAAGAAACTGAGGCAAACAGAGCTTAAGTAACTTGCCCAGGGTTACATGGCTAGAACAGCTACATTTGAACTCAGGTCTTCCTGACTCCAGGCCTGATGTTTATCCATTGAGCCACCTAAATGCTGTGTCCAAAACATGTACAAAATGGAAGTCATATTTCCCTACCAGATGGTCCCCCCCCATTTATAATAAACTTTGCCATCTACAGCATCTCTTACATCTAACCCTTACTCTCTAATTATGTAGTTCAGATCCCAATCACCACCTCTCTGACCAGTGGTGTCAAATTAAAATAGAAACAGGGGCCACTAAGGATCCCTGTGCGCTACATTTTGACTTAGTAAACAACATAGTAACATTACATTCTATTGTATTTTTATTTATTTTGTTAAACATTTGCCAATTACATTTTAATCAAGTTCCCCCAGCATTTGGAAGTATTGCTGGGGCAACTTGTTTGACACCTCTGACTTAGGCAACTGAAAAAGCCTCTCCCCACCTTGCTTTTTCTTTTTTTTTTTAACATTCATTTTTTAAAATTTTGAGTTCCAAATTCTCTCCCTCCCTCTCCAGCCCCTCCTTCACCCACTGAGAAGGGAAGCAATATAACTCATTATATATACATAAATGTCATGCAAAACATATTTCCATATTAGCCATGTTACAAAAACAGGTGGGTGTGCAAGAAAAATAAGGTGAAAAACAATTTGCTTCATTTTGCACTCAAGAATCTGTCAGTTCTCTCCCTTGGAGGTACATAGCATTTTTCATCACAAGTCCTTTGGAATTGTATTGGATGACTATACTGATC